ACATAATATATATTATTACAATTATATATATTCTAATTTATATATCATATTATGTACGTAAATGTTGGCTTAGCATATATGTATTCTGTATTATTATTATTATTATAATTATATATATATCACATCACACTATAAAAAACGAGTTTATTCAGTGAGCCATCCGTCGTGCGTGATCACGCTTTGTCTATAACAAGCGTTCGATCAGCGTCATAGCGCCCTCGACGCCACCGCCGCCATGTCGTCACCGCCAGGCTGTGCTGCGCGGATGATGCGGTGGGAGTGTGGCCAGATGGTCCTGCGCCCTAAGGGTATGCGAGGCCCTCGTGCAAGTATATAATACTCTATTCTTTAGCTAGTCCAGAAGTCTCATCTGTGCTACGATAATGTTGGAGTCTGGAGTCATCAAACTCGGAGCGCCCGATCACCGATTCACGACGACTACACTCAGTTGAGTTCCAGTTCTGGGTCCCGTCGATCTTGATTATTGCCTTCGCCGCCCTTTTGTGATTTGTGAATGTTGGTTGCTGCTCAAATAAGGCCCTAGGTTTTTTTTCCTTGTTCCGCCGTACTTTGTACCATATAGTCATGTTTCACATCCTGCACTCCATAGAATTTTATTACCTAAGAAACATTTACAACGAGTTTCGTCAGATGGCCCTCAAAATCATAGGACCGGCACTGCTTGGAGAGCGCAGACTTGCGAGGGCTGAACTCATACGCGTCATCGCAGGAGGAGCTGGAGATCCAGGGACGTTGCAGACAAATTTGCACATGCAGGAAGAGTTCAGAGCGATGCAGGCCAACAACTCTGCTGCACTGGAAGACGTCCTCCACAACGCCATCATCAAACTCGGAGCTGACGACGACTACACTCAGTTGTTCTGGGTCCCGTCCAAGGTGTTGCTGCTCAGATAAGTGTTCCTCGCCGCCGTCGCCCTTCACATCCTGCACTCCATCTTATCTTAACATACAAGTACGGCACTTGCTCTCACTGTCATCGACAGGACGTTGAAACAATATATACATGACATTAAAATAGCCTCTCACCCTGATAAAGTTCTAGAATAGACTATGTTTGATAATATTCGTATTCATCTATGTTAAACATCAGATAGGATAGATAGGTTTCAGGGTGAAACTAAAAATAATTCTATGAGAATTGTGCATCATCCATCAATAATGGCAACCAATTTGAGTTCCTTCTTGAGATTCCAATGCTTTTTTCAATAAGCCAATCCGTCCATCTATCTTTGACCTGATTAGATTATTGGTTTAAGTTTGTAAAATAAAATATTAACAAAACAATTTTTCTGATCATTTCTTTGATTGGTAAAATATGATATAAAAATACATCAATAATTATTGTATTTCTGAAACAGTGTTGTCAAAAAGTGTTCCACGCAAGAGTACAAAAGGTTTAGCCAAAACAAAGTTATTGATCTTAGTACAAAGAGGACAAAAAATGTTGTGTATATGGATGTTCTACAGTTGTGACAAAGGTATGTTAAATTAATTTATTATTTTCATGTTTGATTACATTTATGTCTTATTAAAATCTTGTATATCCATATTATAACTTATTTCCGCTAATTATGCCATATGTATATATATACGAATAGTGCAAAGTAAGTAGTTTTCATAATATTAAAGGAGAACCTTAAATCCTAATTATCTACATTATTTAGGTATAATAAATCACTCAACTCAATTTAATAAATCATATAATACTTGCTATAGGAAAACATATTTATATCTTTTATTTTATTTATACCATAGTTTTTTAATAATCACACGAGCCTATAATAACCATACACACGTGCGTGCCGCATGTGCATGCTCACTAGTTTATACTATAAAAAGCGAAGAAATTGAAAAATATGTTACCATCATGATATCTTCTACCCACTTAAATTCTTTTCCTTTAGATCTTCCATTAAAATCAGATCTAACGCGTCTAAATTTCCTATCCTGATCTGACGGGTTTATCCCTGTTTTGACTTCCCATGCCTGTATTTTTTTTTTCACCGTAAGTAATGTTACCCGCCCCCGCCCGCAATTCCTATCCCCAGCCGCACCCGCCACCTACAAGGCAACAAACGGATCGGGAGCCGCCTCCATCCGCGCTACCCCCGTAGCCCATAGATCGAGGATGACGCGATTGGGAAGCTTTGCGTCAAAGGCGGCAGCGGCCTCGGCGCCGGCTATCGTGCACCTGTGCGTCCACTCCCACGTCAAGCAAGCAGGCCGAGTATATGGCGAGCGCCGGCCAGATTGGAGGAAGCCCGTCGCCACCGGCCTCTGCTTGCCTCGTCCTCACGACTCACGATCAATCGCATCTGAAATAAGTAACGACCAGCGCTTGCCTCTCTCCATCTCGTATTCCTGTGCTCGTACGGCTTCGATCGACGTGTTGGCCATGACATCAAGTACGTTCAGATCTCCAAGAAAATCCAATATTTTTCCTCACCATGACATTAGTAGCAAATGCTTGCATGAACAAAGTAGGCTGCGCGTGGCCAAATAGCTCGATCAGGTCTCTTGTGATTCAAATAGACCTGCATGATAAGAGGACGTACTTATCTAACTGAACTTGTTCTCTGTCTTCCTGCTTTTTTATGGACGATTTTCAGCCAGCAGTAGACGCCAAACATTACGGCCATGGAGCTAATGATGATTTATGGTTGTGCATGAAGCCTGATGAAAGGCACATTTGATTGTTTGCCCCTAAAAGCACGTCTGAATTTTTGCTGCCTGGAAGATTAATACTTGTTTATTTTTGCAGATCCATAACACATGCCAGTGGCTACCTGGTCGCTTGTGGATGTTGTTGTCTTCTTCTTCGCGGCGGCTACCTGGTCGCTTGCGGATACTGTCGTCGCCCTCTTCGCAGCGGCTACCTGGTCGCTTGCGGACATGCTGGGCTTTCTACAGGTGGATGCTTTGCCTCCACGGCTTCACCCCCTATGTTGGCGATCATTGTGCGGATGTATTTTTCTTTTGCAGGCATAGTTGGTTGGTGTGTTGAGGTGGTGGTCCCCCCCTACCCCCTTGTGTTTTCTTGTTGTTCGTTTGTGTCTTTCAGATTCCGCAGATAATCCTAAGATTACTTATAAGTCCTTTGTAACCGTTATCCGACCTTTCTTTTGGTCATTCCTCTTAATAAAAAACGGGTTAAAGATCCGATCGCGAAAAAAAAGAACACAGGCCAGCACGAGCCCTTCTGTGTTTATGGTTCCTTGTTCATTTGTTGTTTTTTGTTTCAAAATTTTCTATTGTGTGCTACAAAGAAACTTTGTATTGCTTCAAACTTAAAGATACAAAAAATAGGAAAATAATTCATACAGTTCTATGATCTTGGTCCTCTTCAGCACCCGCGCCTTTCGTTTGCCCACCCTGAATTGATTATTCTTTCGTCAGTTTACAGGTATTTGCATCGTATAGCTTTTTCTGTTGACCAAGTATAATCCTGAAGAGGTATTGGAAAGAAATTACATGTAAATGATCTTCTTACTTATTACACAATTTCACTGCTTTCAACTGTTTATGAACCATATATATAGACTACAAAGTAAGGGGTTGTTTGTTGCCTCCCTCCTTTCTCATTAGTTCCGTGTAGCAAAATCTTGAAACTCTAGTTGTTTATTCTTATGTTGTGGTGGATAATGAATCGCCTCGCCTGTTCATCTCTTGCAGCTTTTTCATCGACCTAAAAGGCTAAAACTGACCACGGGACAATAAAGAAAGAGACGCACCAAACAGATATCAGCATTCAGCCGATAAATTATACAGAGTGATATGCTACTCTTCACATGCTCCCATATGACACAATTTCTTTACATTACTTTTCATAGACACGTGCGTGTCGGACGTGTATTTCCACTAGTATATATATTACAAGGGGAGGGAACCAATTATGAGATGGTGTCGTCATATATAGTAGTGACTTCCAACGCACGCTTAGGTGCGAACGGTGATCATACTATAATCATAGACACGCGTATATCGCACTATAAATTAATTAAAATATCAATACTTGCTAGCAGCAAGATTTTAAAAACATTTTGCTTAATTAAAATGCCTCATCATAATTGTTGTTATTTTGATTAAACGTTTTCATTAATATTCTTATATTGCGTATGATTTTTTTTGGTGCTATATTTCAGGTGCTTGAAATATAGACTTTTCTTCAGGCGACAGCCATAGAACATCACGTGTATATTATGCGAACATCACAAAACACATCATGAGCATTACATGTACACTACGCGAACATCACCACACGTCGCCTGAACAGCAAACACAAATTCAGGCGACTGTCGTATGTACGTGAACATCGCAAAATACATCATTGAATATCACATGTATACTACGTGAACATCATATAATTTATCATAGAACATCGCCTGAATAACAGACACAAAAATCAGACGACTAAAGTATAGGAAATGTGATATATATATATATAGACACGGGGGGCATGTGTACTAGTACCAATATAAAATAGAATAAAGCTGCATGCAATTGGTATATTCATCATCATGAAACGAAAAGAAACAAATTATTAACTTTATTTATTCAAAAGGAGAAGTAATACATAGAACTTAGCTCTTTATGAGGAGCTAATTAATTAAGCTCGTAGGCTTTTCATGAATAATAATTAATTCATACGACTATGCTTTTTGTTGCAACAAGCTAAGATAGGTGGCACGGCATGCAGAGCAGGCATGGCAAACTCGATCATATATATCAGATAGTGTGAGGAGTAGTATATATTACTTTTATTGTCGATGGAATTAATCCATGGTGAGAATGGATTATTAATTTTAGTTATTACTTTGTGGCAAGTGGGAGCTTGTTTGCCTTGCGCCCAACTATCCAACGGTAAAAGCCGTAGATGAGCAAGGCATAGACCACAGCGCCACCGAAAAACAACCCTGTGACCGTCCAGCTATCTGCGCTGGCCATGGCGAAGGTAAACGCAACCGTGACGGAGAGTAACGTCAGCAAGAATGACACAAATCGAGGACAGGTTTGGCCAAGGAAGCCTTGTTGGGCGCCCACAACAGAATAACCACGACGGCAAACGCTGTCCCAGAGGTGATTGCGTTAAAGGCCAAGTAGAACGCGGCTTTCAAAATTTCACCCCTCGTGGCGGCGGCGGCATGATGGCTTGGCGCCGGCGCAGCAACGCCAGCATCATTCTGCTGCTTCCACAGCCACCAGGGTTGTGGACCTGCTTGATACCATTCCGTCTTGAACCATTCCGGCGGGTGCAGCACCGCCTCAAACGCCAGGCCGATGAAGAGCGTGGCCACCGTCATCAGCCACCCGCGCATCTCGTTCAGGTATGCCTTGTCAGCCTCTTCTGTATCATCTATATGTGATTTTGATTGATGAAGCCAATAATTAATTTCCGAAACAAATGAAAGCAAAGCAACCAAAGAAAAAGAACCTTTTTTCCTTGCTGGAGTCGTATCACCGCCGCCACCTCCCGGCGATAGCATCGTTGTTTCGGTGATGCCGCCACGTCCCGGCGATGGCATCGTTGTTTCGGTGATGCGATGCGATGCGATGATTGCTAGGCTGCGTGTTGTGAGTTGTGATTTGTAGAGTAGTATACGTGGTAGCTATTTATAGAGGCCAGGTGCATATGCTTTGATACTTCCAAAACAGACAGACAGTAATCTTTCCAAAAAAAAAAAAACAATGAACAATAAAATTTCATCAAACAAATAAACAATAAACAGCATAACAAAAGATTCTAATTTTGTTCAATTTCATCAAATTTATTATAAAATTAACATTATTTATGTTACCAAACAAATATCATGGGTTACATTTAATATTAAAATATATTTTATTTGACATTAGGAGCGGAGCTAGAAATTATGGAGGGAGGGGGGACTAAAAAATCCAACTCGTAAAACCTGAGCGCAGCTCAATTGGTTAGGTTCCTAATGCATGGTCGCCACGTGGCTTAATTCATCGACTTGACATGGGTAGTCGCATTTTCTTATATGTATTCTAAAATAAAGGTGTTATTCTTTCAGTGGTAGACGACGTACAACCTCTTGACAGCAATGCGTCTGGTGTGACTTCGTAAACCTCGAAATAAACCGTCTCAGTTTAATTTTGGAGGTGCTCATAGGATGATTTTATTATCTAGTTTTGCTTTATATGATTTAATTATCTAGAAGATATTAATAAATTGATACTAGTAAAAATTATCTAGAAGATTTTATTCATTGACAAGAATTTCTTTATATTCTCTATATTAATATAAATAAACATTATAAATTTATACTAGTAAAAAAAATTTACTGTGATATGTTAGGGGGGGGCCATGGCCCCTGCTAGCCCGCCTACCTCCGCCACTGTTTGACGTCATATATATTGATACTCCTTTATATAAACCCGGTTAACCTTAAGATATTTGACTTGGAGCCAAGAGTAGAATTGTATTCTTTTTATAACGGAGCTAGCCAGTAACATATGCATACCCAGGGACATCCTGAAAAAAAAAATATTAGGTGCAAAATCTCTTGGCACTTTAGCCGCTCATGTGCTTTTGTTATTTGCGTGTTTGGAATAAAGAAAAATTCAAGATTCGTTCCAATGTACACCTTTTTGTCTTTCAACACGCATAATCTCTTATGCTAGGCATTTAGCCGTTCATGTGCTTTTGTCCTTTGCGTGTTTGGAATAAAGAAAATTCAAGATTCGTTCCAATGTACACTTTTTTATCCTCCCAACATGCAAAATCTCTTATGGTAATTGTCATAGAAAAATTCAATAAAATATATTAATTTAGAATGTCAGATCATTCGTATTTCCGCAAAAGTTGAGCATTACATATATTACTAAAACATAGATGAGGTGCTTCGAATTAGTTTATGTACCATGTTTCCAGGAAGAAAAGGTGTTACTCCTACTGAAACATTATTGCACCAGATGAGAGATAAACTCGCCCTCCTGAGTCCTAAGTACCACATTCTCCCCTAAAAAAATATGACGTTTTAGTCATACTAAAGGCCAGTTTTCGTGTAGCTGTCCAAAACGACTTTTTTTTTTTTAGTATGGAGGAGTATACCACAAAATAACATCTGGCCTAATGCGCACTATCGGTCCATTTATGACTTCCCATTGGTAACGAAAATGCATGATTCCCATGTGCACTTTTGTTCATTGCGTGTTATGGGAAAAAACACGGTCGTATACTTTATTCTGCTTTTTGTGAGGCTTTCCCAAAGCTCTGGGGTGTACAATGCTTGAGACATCAGTTAAGGGCATCTTCAATAGCGAGAGTAGGATGTCGATTTTTAAGAGTCTGTTTGAAAGAGCTCTAGCTCTAAAAACATCGATCGAGAGCACTAGCTAACTTCACAATGGAGCAGCTTCACCATGGATTTGTGCTCCCAACACGAGAGTGAGAAGCCTGTTTGGCTTCCAGCGCAACTCCTGATCCAAGAAATGCAAGTTTCGGTAAGAATGGCCACTTATACCCTTAGAAGGTTTCATGCAGATTACAAACACACGGTCCATATGTGTCTATGTATGAGTCATGATTGATTGTAAATTAAGGAGATAATCAAAGCTTTTGGTTAAGTGTGTGTGAGACTAACCGAGAAGTGAGTTGTGTGTGCAACATTTCTCTTAGCTTGTGGGTGTGCAGGTGTTGAGCGCGAGACGGTCGATGGCAATAGAGAAGTTCAAGCAAGTGGTCCGTGCGCGATGGACCAAGGGCGATGAAGGGTGGACGCGAAGGATGGATCGTGGACCGGAGGTCGAGTCAAGCAAGAAATATGATAATAAGGTACGGTAATCACAAAGAGTAACACCGGACCCGCCGCATCGTCGCCACCGCAGACCAAACCCTCTCCCCCCCCATCGGCGGCCCCCTCCTGCTCCTCTTTCCTCCCCTATTTCCCATCTCTCCTCGGCTCCTCCCTCTCTCTTCCATTCCAATCCCTGGCGCCGACTCCCCAGTTCTATCTATCCACTAGAGCTTAAAGACTTCGATTACCTGATGATGATGAACGAAGTTGAAGACCAGAAGCTGTGTTAAATTCACAGGAAGATTCCAAAGCGCAGGATAGGTGACGCCGTGACGGAATGACGGAGCACCTGTGACGTCTGAAGACTCAAGTCAAAGTACGTGATCACAGAAAGATAAAGTCAATCAAAAAGAAGTTGAGTTTTTTTTATGAAAGGCCCCTGTAATTTCATTATATTTCCATAAAATCTGTGTGGCGTTGCGAAAAACTTTATTATATCAATCATGGTCTGTTTGGAATAATCTCTAATCAAAAGGGATTGGACGTGATTGAGGTCATCCCTTTCAATCTGCCTCCATCACCTTCAATCTCCTCAATCTCCTTTAATCCCCACTAAACCGAACAAGGGAGATCAGAGAGCAACTTTCAAATTGCGCAGTTTCAATCATAACATTTCGGCCTATGGGTTAAACACTGGGAATTTAAATGTGCTTCAAGTTGGAACTGAAAGCCTGCAGTGCAAGTTTCACCAAAAAAAGAAAACACAATGCAGCGGACGATACTATCTTTTTATATTAACATTTAGAAATAATGTATTAAATGGTTTGGCCGCTAAATGATCTCCAATGGAATAAGATCGAACACTACAACTTTAACATAGGGCATGTCCCATTCAAGATTGTTTGGAACTTTCGAAAATTTGAATCTCAAAATCTAATAACTTAGAGCATCTTCAAGAGACTCTGTAAATGACTCTTCAAATTTAGTAGCTCTCTATCCCACCTCATTCGCTCTCTACTCTTGGATAGCCTACCTCACCAACCATCTAGCTTTTTAGTTTACAGAGTCTGTTGGAGTACTCTAGTATTTTTTTGTCAAATCTATTTTAGAGAGTAGCTAAAAAACAGTAAATTTGGCTAGTCTTTTTTGTTAATCTCTTGGAGATACTCTTATAATGAGTATTTGATACTCTAAACAACTTCAAATAAAAAACTTGTCAATCACAAAGTCATAGATCGCGTAGACCACTACAACTTTGATATTGGCCGTACCAACATCAGAGTTAGTTTGGAAATTATAAAGTTTAGGTTTTAAAATATGAGAAATTAAAACTGACACTCTAGATAAATTCAAATAAAAAACTCTCTGACTACGAAGTTGTAAATCACATTGATAACCATAACTTTGATCTAGACCATTTCAATATGTGAAGTCACTCAAAATTTCGAAAATCTGATTTATGGGACTGAGTTTACTAGGAGTCCATTAATCCAGAGAGAGAGAGAGATGATTAAGCCTCTTACAACCGAGAGAGAGAGAGAGAGATGATTAAGCCTCTTACAACCATATTTATTCTGAACTAGCACATGATTTCTCACAAAAACCCCAATATGAACGCAGAGAAGGGTAGGACTGCCATGTCCATGTGTAATCGTCCTTTCTAAATAAGCTGTTTCCTTGAAATAAATTTCAGGCAACGAAACTGGTTGTAGTAGTTTATTGGATAAAAAGAAAACAGAAACTAAATTAAATATACTAGGGTACAAGGAAAAAGAAAACGAACGAAATAAACCCGTATGACAAATGGGCTGCCAAGGGCCGCAAAGAAAAAGGAAAGGAAACGAGCAATCCGTCACTCAGTCCAGGAAGCAAATAGCTCAGGACCTGGGCGCCCTAGACGACGGCCCACGAAAGAAGAAAATTTCAGCCCACAGACAGAAACGAACTGGAACACCGTAGTAATCGCCCCGTTTGGCTTTCCTCTTTTTTTTCTGCCTGCTAGACTTCTCCTTCAAACGAAACGGCCTGTCTGTACATGCACCAAATAAACAACTCGGTAGCAAGCTCAGCAACTCCTAATTTCAAGAAGATCCAAACTTTTCCTTCTCCATGCGTACGTACATACACGCTTAAGTTAAAACAGATACTGAATTTGCACACCACTAGTGTAGTTTGGATTGCACTTGCGCAGCAGCTTCTAGCAAGCCTCGAATGCACACCATGACGCTGTTCGCTTGTCTTATAATTCGTACTTTTCAGCTTGTCTTTTCAGCCGGAACAGTGTTTTTCTCTCACAACAAATCAGTCGAAACAGTGTTTCAGCTTGTTTTTTCAGTGAAGCGAACGGGACCAATACAAGAATGTCATGCCTACTTGAAGAGACTGACAATGGTTGCACAAACTTGAACCGTTCTCAGACACAAGATATTTTCAGCAATGACAAGTTTAACTCACGAGACACAAGATATTCTCTGGCTTGCCGGCTTCATCTTGTTGCAGTTGATAAATTTATCTTAGAACAGTCAGTCCGTATTGAAAACCGGTTGTAATTAGTTGCCCGGTTCCACTATCTCTGTCAAGTGAGAACTGTTCCCTGATGCAGCGAACGTAGTGCTCTCTGCTCAAGTGGGCACAGCAATAGTGCCCAATAAAAATGCCAGTCCTCTGGACCAATGGCATATGCTGATCCTGATCCTATATGAAGCAAAAGAATCAGACGTATAGGACTGATTGTACTGGCTCAACAATACAAAGAGAAATATGATTACAAACAAGCCTCTTACAGCCATGTAGTTATATATATCCTGAAGTAGTGCATGTATAAATTTCCACAAAACCCATAAAATGAACTTAGAGAAGGATTATTTATTGTAGGGATGAAGTAATGCGTCAAGAAGTGGAGCAACCTTTAACTTAATTAAATTAAAGAGGGAAGCTAAACAAAAATAAAGGGTCGTGCTGCCTTAAAACTTGATGGTTGTCAAGTAGCACATGCGAACTGTGTAGGTCAGACTGAACATGAACGAAGATCTGAACAAACCTTCATCGTACCTGATAACAGGCAGGCATCGATCATACTGAACATGCTATAACTTTGAGTTGATAAACTTGAACATGGAACATTCAGAGGCGTAGAATTCAGAAATAGATCCAGACAGTTTAGATTCAGTACTCCTAAACACACGGGGTTGGGAAATAGGAGTTGCTCATATTGGTGGCGGCTCTTATGGTTGATGCTATTTATTTATGCCGATAACCGATTTGGCAATGAATAAGACTCTGGAGAAAGAAGTTGCATTGCCGAAAATGGCTACAGGTGCCATGGGAAAGGATGAGGGAGCTTGGCTGTCTGTCAAGTGTCAACGAAACAAGATGACAGCATTGTATATGTATTCAAACACTCATTAGTGCACATGTATTCAGGGCCGTCCCTTGGCACGTGCAACGTGTGCGACGGTACAGGGCCTCCACTTTTCAGGGGCCTCCAAATATATATAGAGTATATATACGTATATATGTATTGCTTGGTAAATAAGAACGTACAGCAGTAGCTTTGGCCTTTGGCCCATTAGCAAAGCGACGTGTACAACAATTGACCAAAGCCCAATAAACAATGGCTTGTTGCCCGGCCGCTGTTCAGTTGGCAATGTTGCCGATCCCAATTCCCCAACTGAATCAGATCGCAAATCTTAGGTCTCACGTACTACCTCTCGACGTCTCGTCTCGTGTCGCCGCCATCGCCTGACGCCGTACCGGCCGCCGGCAGCGTTTCGCGAGTGACAGGGCGTGAGCCGTGACGATCTAGCTGCAACCGCAACAGCGAGAGCGAGGCGCTAAGGCCCTGAAGGTAATATAAATCATTCATATTTATTTTTCAATTCATTCACGGGTAGCCGCGAACAATAATAAGTAGTTGATCGATCTCTAAATTTTGTTTTTTTTATCTTTTGATCTAGACACCTACTGGAATAGCATTCAAAGATTGAAGCCATGTCTTCTACTGGGATTCACTTGATAGTAGACAAGTTGACATTTTAGCACAAAAGGGCCCTAAAAGAGACCTATCAATTCAGAAGGGTCCTAAGGACATGTTATCTAGAAGATTTTCTTCACTATTCTATGATAGAATTCTGTCAAATGGAGAAAGCTGTGATAGAATTCGGAAACATTGCGGTCGTTGGATAACCAAAGCTTGAAGTCTTCTTGTGATAATCTTGAGGCTGCCCTTAAAAAGGATGAAAAATCTGATATTGATGCCAAAGAACTATATATGGAGCTGAAGTTTCTACAAGACTTCATTCCAGAAGAAAGAATGGGGCCTGTTGAAATTTTGCGGTTTTTAAAGGAGCATGGTTGTTTTCCTAATGCAACTATTGCATATAGAGTTTTGTTGACTATTCCTGTGACTGTTGCATCAGCAGAGCGAAGCTTTTCTAAGTTAAAGCTATTGAAGACTTATTTGCGTTCTACAATGACACAAGAAAGACTTAATGATTTGGCTATAATAGCACTTGAAGGTGAACTGTTGGAGAAGATTGATTATGAGCATATTATTAAAGACTTCATTTCAAAGAACACTAAAAGAATGATGTTATTCAAGTAAAGATTATGTAATATAGGTATCATTCTTGAATCTTGATATATATTTTATTGCAACATACTGCATGCTTTATAATATCGTATATTTAGTTTTTTTTTCTAGGCTAATAGGCCTCATTTCTTAGTATCGTACAGGGCCTCTAATTTTCCCGGGACGGCCCTGATGTATTCCACAACAAGATCGAAGCATAGTACAGTATTGCTTATAGGAGTATTTATCTCTGTTGGTGGCAACCCAGTTGAGCATGCTGAGTATTAATAAATTAATAATACTCTGGCATTCTCTCTTTTTTTTTATTATTTCAAAATCCAAACTTTAAAATTTTTGACCGATGATTTAGTTAGCAATTTTTAATTACTATAAATACAAACAGTTAGATATGTAACTAGATGTACTATACACTTAACATAAATTTATAAGCATAACAGTACTATAATATAAATGGTTAAAAATGTAGTTTGTAATAAGACTGTCAAGGACTCAAGGATGGAGGGAGTAGCAGTAGCACACACACAAGAAGCGTTCCGTTGCGTTGCCCTGTGACCGTTGGCGCGGGCGCGGGACGACAAATCCGTCCGCGCTGGATTCTGTTGCGTTGAAACTTGAAACCCAAACCCAAAATCCAAAATCCCAATCATGACACCACCAAAACACCCCTACGGTTACAGGTTACTCCAGCTAAAACAAGCGGACAAAGGAGCGACGCGAGAGGTCACGGCCCCAGCCAGCTGCCAGCCTGGTGTCCGTGTCCGACCCCAAGACAAGACGAGGACACCAACCACCGCCGCCCGTGGACGTGGCGGGGTGACGTGCCGTGCCGACGAGCGTGCGCGCGCGCCCCCACCTGTCCTGCCACCCCCGTCCGTGTCACACATCTCAGCCCGTCAGCCGTCGCCGCCTGCTCCTCCTCCGCTGGTGGTGGTGCTCCGGCACTGCTCGGCGGGCCTGGCCTCGAGGGGGCCACCGATGGTGGGGCAGCCGTCGGCGGCGGAGGCCGACGGCAGCTCCATGCAGTTGTAGGAGAGGCAGAGCGCGGCGGAGTCCGGGAGCGGCGCGGCAGGCGGGACGGGGAACCCCGTCAGGAAGTTGTGCTGCGCGTACAGCGTGGTCATCCGCCCCGCCAGCACGCTGCGCGCCACCGCCGCCGGCACCTCCCCGGACAGCCGGTTGTTGTTCACGTACAGGCTCCCCGCCGCCGCCAGCGCCTCCGGTACCTCGCCCGAGATGCCGTTGTGGCTCACGTCCACCACCGCCCACTCCTGCTGCGGGGACGGCGGCGGCACGGACAGCGCGCCCGTGAAGTTGTTCCGCGACAGGAGCAGCGACGACAGGCCAGGGAGCGCGAACACCGACGCCGGGATGCGGCCCGAGAAGTTGTTCATGGACAGGTCCAGGAACGCCAGGTCGGCGGGTAGGGGTGATGGTGGACTGGCTGAGCCGTCGTCACCACCACCAGCAGTGCCACCAAAGGCCCCGTCGAGGGTGCCCTGCATTGCGTTACCGGCGACGGAGAAGTACCGCAACGTGGCCGGCAGCGGCGGTAGCCCCCCAGCGAGCGCGTTCCTCGCGAGATCGACGTGGAACAGCCCGGAGCTCGCGAACCCGGCGGGAATCTCCCCGGAGATCCCGCCGTTGTTGGCGAGGATGAGCACCTTGAGGCTGGGCGAGTCGGGAAGGAGCAGTCCCGCGGGCACGGCGCCGTCGAGGCGGTTCCCGCCGAGGTCGAGCGTGTGGAGGTCGGGCAGCCCCGCGAGGGAGGCCGGGACCGGACCCGTCAGCTGGTTGCCCGCCAGCGAGAGGAGCCGGAGGCGGCGGAGACCCGCGCCGAGGCCTGACGGGATGGGACCCGACACGCGGCCTGGGTACAGGACCAGGTCCGTCAGCGCGGCGAGCGTGGAGAGGGAGTCCGGGAGTGTGCCAGTTAGTCCCGGGGAATCGGCGAGCCCCGTGCCGAGGGTCAGCACCGACACGCGGAGGACGGTGGTGCTGGAGGAGTCGCTGTCGGGGCTGTCGTCTCCGTCGGCGTCGTCGGGCGCGCAGACGACGCCGGCGTACGCGCAGGGGCTCCGGGCGTCGTCCCAGGTGTCGAAGAAGCGGGAGCCCGAGAGGTCGCGCAGGCTGGCCCGGAGGTCACGCAGCGCCGCCGCGTCGCGCTCGTGCAGCGTGGCCGGCTGCGCCGGCGCCCGGGAGGCGAGCATTCCCAGGAAGAGCAGGAGGAGGAGGAACAAGAGGGGTGGCAGAGGCAGCAGCGCCATGTGCGTGGCCTCGGCCGCCGCCAAGAGGGGTGTCTGTGTCTCTTGCCACAATGCCCACACTTCCCTTGGGAGTTGGGGGAGATGCACGGACGGGACGACTAGTAGTAGAGACTGGAGAGAGCAGCAGCCAGCCAGTGAGTGGAGTGGACTGGAGTGGAGGCGAGCGAGGTTGGCAGGGCAGCGAGTGATCGATGCCAGTGCAGAGTATAGACAGAGGGAGCCCGAGAGGACAAGGATGGAATAGGTGGGCCCGGTCCTCCAGTCCGGTTCGTCTCTCCGGCCGGCTCTCTGCCGCAGCTTTACCTCGCGGTCGGTGGGTGCACCGTGGTCAGGTCGGATAAAAGCTTTCCCTGTGCCGCCTCGTCGTGCTCTCACCTCTCACGCTCATGGAAGATCGATCGGTTGGCCGGTGGCGGTGCAGGTAGCCAACAGCCCCGTATGGTACGGCGGCATGAGCGTGTCGTCCGGCCGGCCGTCCTCCCGCGGTCCAGGTCTCCGTCCGTCCCTGGAGAATTGGAGATGGAATGCTTCTGCCCTCTTGCTTGCTCTCCTTCCTTCATCACCATGGCTTCACACGTGACGTGCCGCGTCGTCTGCCTGCGACTACTCCTGCGTTCATTTCATCGACATCGCGGGATTTGCGTACTCTGGTTCACAAGTATGTGCATGCGGGCCTGTGTACGTACGTCCAGCGGCGCTTTAGTGGCCTGGGGTAACCCGTGACTGTGATCTCTCCACCACACCCACTCTGTGCATGCTCGCAAGCGCGCTGCCAAACATGACACACCGTATGTTTTTATTATATTCATTCGTTCGTTTATGGCTACGCTACGCTGCTTCGGCGATTTTTTTTAATATTTTTCTAAAATAAATTCCAAATCTAAGACAGTTGCTTTTTTATTTTCAAATCTAACACTTTTGGTCACGTCAAAATCCGTGGCGTGGCCAAAACAAGCTGTCCGCCCACGTGCATCGGTGCGGCACTGTAGCACCACGCTATCTAGACTGGCGCGACATGGCACAGTCTTAGAAAAATTGTATCTTTTTCATACGATCTCGGATAAAGATGATCTTTATATGAAGATTATAGCTCTCGACGAGATCTACAATTTTCTAGTTTTGATTTTTTTTATTTAAGGTCGTTAAGATGCTTAAAAAATTAAACAAAGTTTCAGTAGTATATTAATCGCGTATAAGCGTTGTCGTCTTGGAAAAATCATATCGTCAGATGAAGATACTTTCTATATGAAAGGATGTAGCCGATCTATAAATTTATAGTTTTGAGTTTTTGCATTTAAGATCATTAAGATGCTCAAGAAAAATAATATAAAGGTTCAGCCTCCTATTAATCGCGTATATGCACTTGTAGTCTTGAAAAAAAATCATATCTTTCTTATACGTTGTCAAATGGAGATATTTTTTATACGAAAGTTATAGCTTCCGGTGGGATCTACAAATTTATAGTTTTGGATTTTTGCATTTGAGATCATTAAGATGCTTAAAAATAATAATATAAAGTTTCAGCATCGTATTAATCGCGTACACGCGTTTGTCGTTTTGGGAAAATCATATCTTTCTTATATGGCATCAAATTGAGATACCTTCTATATGAAAGCTATAGCCCTTGATGAGGTCTACAAATTTATAGTTTTGAGTTTTGCATTTGAGGGCGTTATCTTCGACGTGCGATATGACTAATTACTAATCGAAAGTCGACTCGGGAATTCAAGTACTACCTAAAAATGGATGAAGATGATTGATTTGTTAGGCTGATGGTAGATAGCTTAGTCACACACTTACTATCTCACTATACTTTCGTCATACTTCGCATAATAGTTTTATACAAAGATGGTGAAAAAAAGTTACGCAACAATAGACATCGTTAATTGTAAAATTGGCGAGTTCTAATAAACTTAGAAATTAAACTACGACCTTAACATATCTTTTATCGCTTAGTGTAACCGTATTATTTCGTCATATTTTCTTGTACATAAAAAAAAGTACTTTTCTCTTTAACTAATGGTCAAGCACGTGTGGCATGCACCAGAAAAGATTTTTATGAGGCGTTAAGCTCAAGTACATAATTAATATACTGCTAAAACTTTATATTATTGTTTAGCATCTTAATGATCTCAAATGAAAAAAAAATCAAACTATAAAGTTGTACATCTTATCGAACTTTCAGGTGGTGAACTAGACTCAACTCTGCCCCAGGCTCAATAATTTATTTGATCTAAATTTCTTTGGGTATAATTTGAACTGTGAACTCGAGCTTGTCACGTACCGCGGCAGTGTCGCGTGGGAATTTAACACTTGTTCAAGTTTATTTTAAACATGCCTAGTCACGTCGCGCGCTCAAGATAACGACCTCAAATGAAAAAACTTAAAACTGTATATAAAGTTATAGATCTCATCAAGAGCTACAACTTTTATGTAAAAAGTATCTCCATTTGACATCATATAAGAAAGATATGATTTTTCCAAGACAACAAGAGCTTGTACGCGATTAATACGATGCTAAAACTTTATATTATTTTGTTTAATATCTTAATGATCTCAAATGTAAAAACTCAAAACTATAAATTTGTAGATCCCACCAACAGCTATAACTTTCGCATAAAAAGTATCTCTATTTGACATCATATAAAAAAGATATAATTTTTTCAAGATGACAAAACTTTATATTATTTTTTGAGTATCTTAATGATCTCAAATGAAAAAAAATCCAAAACTATAAATTTATAGATCCCACCAAGAACTATAACTTTTATATAGAAAATATCTCCATTTGACACCATATAAGAAAGATATGATTTTTCTAAGACGACAAGTGCTTGTACGCGATTAAAACGATACTGAAAATTTATATTTTTTGAGCATCTTATTGATCTCAAATGCAAAACTCAAAACTACAAATTTGTAGATCTCATCCAGGGCTACAACTTTCATATAGAAAGTATCTCCATTTGACACCATATATAGTGTCGAGGACCAATGCTAGGTACCCGAAGAGGAGCTAATGACCATCAACATTGACTCATCCGAATAGTCAAGAACGCGACTATGGTTCCAACCGATCCCCCGACGCGCAAGCTCCGCTCCTTTCGGCCTCTTGGGGTCTGCGTTCCGCCTCGTCCGACCATTGGGTCTGCGCTCCGCCTCGCCCGACCCTTGGGTCTGCGCTTCGCCTCGCCCGGCCTCTTGGGGGGGAGACTCCGCCTCGCCCGGCCTTTAGGTCTGCGCTCCGCCTCGCTCGACCCTTGGGTCTGCGCGTTGCCTCGCCCAGCCTCGGGGGGGACTCTGCCTTGCCTAACCCCGAGGCGGCGGGCTCCGCCCCGCCCGACCCTTGGGCCTACACTTCGCCTCACCCGACCCTTGGGTCTGCGCTCCGCCTCACCCGACGGAGACCTATACCGTCGCCAACCACTGCAGGTCCAAACGTATGGGCCTGAGTCAAAGCTCTGACACCAGGAAAGAGACCGGCACGCCCCGATGTAACCCACGGCCTTGACAGACCATACTGGAAGAACAGCGTCGGATGTACCGATGTTGTTCTACCTAACCCCCGTACAAACACTGACGGGCGCGTCAGTTTACCACGACGTTCGCCAGGACAAAGTAGAGCGCCATGACCGGCATATGATGCCTACGCATGGGCCTAGTGACGAATAGGACCGTGATGCGAAGCCGTCCTTGATGACATCTATAAGGTCGACGGGACCCGCTTGAAGGAGAAGAAGGACCTGGCGATCCTGAAGGCCTTCGGCTCTCTCTCTCTCTCTCGTTCTTCTGTTTCGTCCGCTGTAACCCATGCTTTCCCTTGGCCTATAAAACGAAAAGCAGGGCCTCCGATAAGGGGCATCGCAACACATCACATTGATTCAGGCTAGATCTGATCGAACCATCATGAACCCATCGAACCCCGAACACACAGTCGAGTAGCAACCGAGCTCTCTCAGCACTCGTTCACTCCTTTCACCAGAGACTTAGGACCTATCCCTCTCTCGTCCGTGTGAAACCCCTACTATGAACTTTCAGTGCTAGTAACACGAGCAGCAGCAACGAACTGGTCGTAGGGACATTCTGCGCGAACTAGTATAAACCTTGTGTCCTCTAAGCACACCATCCGAGCTAGACGTGCAATATTAGAAATTTACTTGTCGGTGGCAACTTGAGACAGCGATAGTTGGCGCGCTAGGTAGGGGCCTTTTGCGCGTCTCTACATCCACACAAGCCTTGGATGGCTAGTCGTAATGTCAGCTGGGTCCCAAGCGTGCACGTGCACTTCGGGCACATGGACTTCATCGTCACGACGGAAGGAGAGTTGGCGCAGGATCCCGCCGCTGACCAACCTCTCCACTCCGCCAGCCTCGGTGTGATCACCGAGGCGCTGGAGGGGCTGCAGCTGCACACACCAGAGGCCCGCGCCCCCAGGAGCGACCAGCTCCTCGGCTTTGATTACGGGAGGTTAGAGCGTCAGCTTGGCGCCTTCCTCGGACCCCAACCGTCCTGGGAGGACCTACGCCACCTCACCTTTTCGTTCGCCAATGTCATGGCACAGCTTGCTAGGGGAGAGCCCCTCTCCCCGGAATACCTCCCCTGGAGTGCCACGACAACGCTCTCGTTCAGTCTCTGCAACGCTGCAGAGACCGTTGACCACCCTAAGGCGCAACGCACGCCTCCGTCCCCCGCGAACGATGAGTTCGTGGGGATGACCGAATATGTCGCCCTCCTGCTCTAACTCCAGCAGAGGGAGCCATCACCCCTCTCATGAGTGTTTCATGGTGGATACCCCTGAAGGACACGTCGAAAGCATCCACGAGGAAGAGGCTACCCCAACGAATGACCTTGACGACGAGGTGGGGGGGATGCAGGGCCCCGCCTCGCCTGCGGGTGGAGCAGCTGAAGGCCCGACACCAAGAGCTCGAGGAAGCGCGACTCTAGCTCGAGTAGGAACGCATGGATCTTGATCGAGAGATCGAGTGCCACGGAGACGGTGG